CGTCTCCTGTTAAACTATCATGGGAGTTGACCGCAACACAATTTCCCCGGTATAACTGTTTGCCAAGTCGTCACTTTCCCATCGGTAGTTTCCCATCTCCGGAGAAGAATGCCATCTTCAAGTTTCAACTGGTCCCATTGTGCCCAATAGTGCTTTGTCACAGGGCTTAAACTAGACACCTTCTCCCAAGCAGGGCGCACAACACTCGCTTTTAGAAAATCAATCATTGACTTCAAATCTTGGTCTTTATCCTGTTCTGCCTTTATATCTATATTTGGTTCTACTTCACCATCATCAACTCTTTCAGTCGGCTTGACTTCAGCTTGATGACACCTAATTAGTTCAACCTCTCTCTTAACAGTTACCGGAACTTGGCCTTTGTTATTCCCAACCGTCATTTTATCAAAATCAATTACAAACTTCCTTGGTAGTAGATAGTCCAATCCTAAGATGCATTCATCTTCAATGTCAGTCAAGTATACTTCCTGTCTGTCCTTTATGCCCATGAGCTCAATAGTCACCCACACTGGTCCCCACAATCTTGTAGAATGTCCTGTCACACCACAAAGCTTCTCTATGGCTTCTGGTACTCCTTTGTGATTTAACACCTTGATGCTAACAAGGGTTTGCTGAGACGCAGAGTCTATGACAAAGTTGCACCTTTGGCCATCTAGCTTTCCTGTCACATAAACACTGTGTGTGTGCTTGGCATTTTACACCTAGCTGTTGGGACTTTCATGATGGGGGTTGGTGGGCGTCGCTCAACACCAACCACTACTGGTCTCCTTGAGGCCGACTTGTTGGTAATAGGCCTCTTACACTGGCTCCTCAAATGTCCGTGCTTTCCACAGTTCCAACAACCTTTCTGGATACCAGCCTTTCCTACTGTGGCACCTCCCCTGTGTTGAAGTTTCCAGCATTGAGCTCTCTTTTGCCCAGGTTTATTATAGTGCCAGCAAAGTCCCTCAAACCTCTCTGAAAGCAGACCTTTTCTGGCCTTGAATCCAGATGACTGTACCAACCTCGTAGGATTCAAATTCGAGAGCCCTGGCCATTGCATCCTGCATGGTAGAGGGGTGTGCTTGCTTCACTTGTATCTTAAGTTGTGGACTGTCCAAGGCATCTACGAACTGATCCCTCAGCAACAACTTGAGGA